CGGTGACAATTACCAAATGAGAAGGCTCCTACAGAGAGACTATTAGAAATAAATGAAATCCTATCTAATTGAATTAAAAGCTACCTTAAAAAAAGTTACGGCATATTCACGTGGTGAATGAGGATGAATGGGCGAAGCTCCGGAGGGATTCATCGGTAAACTGTGAATCTTTCCGTGTAATTCGCCCAGTCGATCATCATGTAAAGACGTGAGAAACGCTGTGTGTGTATATACACAAATCAACTTTTATTTGTTCTTAGACGATGGATGGCTTGCGATGTCCCTTGCCTCGCGCGCTCGCACATCGGGATTCTGTCTGCGAGCGTGCGCTGCTGCCGCCTTGCGCTCTCTCCGCTGTGCAGCCTTATCCATCCGGCGACTCCGAGCACGCGCCAACAGAGAACGGATTTTATTACAACGCTCCCCCTAGCGTACGTCGCCGCACTAAATCGAACGATTGTCTTCAACCAATGACACGCGCCATATGTGACATCATTCCTATTTTATAAGTTCTCGCGTATTTCATCAACTACAAGTACCGCTTTCTAGTTTATAACATCTTGCATCTTTTCATCATCAGCTACAAGTACCACCATCTAGTAAACACTACAAGAACTAAACGAGAGGTGGCTACATACAAGAGACGGTACCGCCATCTAGTGAACACTGCAAGAACTAAACTAGAGGTGGCTACATACAGGGGACGGTACCGCCATTTAGTGAACACTGCAAGAACTAAACTAGAGGTGGCTACATACAGGCTACAGGGGACGCACAGCCCACGCCCTAAGGAGCTTCGCCCCTAAAATGTTTTTTTTTCTCGGTGACTTGAAGCGACTACACGATAAAAAATGATGCTCGATTGTTCCATCCTTGTTAGAGAATGAGCAAAGAGGGGAAGAAGCCAGGCCAGCTCAATTCTAGTGTGTTTAGAAAAATAGTTTGACGATTTCGAGTACTTCGTACTGAACTATGGGAGAGCAGTGAGCCGTCCCCATGTAGTAATTTACTTTTGGAACTCTACAGCGTAACCTCGTAAAAATGATTTCTTTGTATGTTGACCAGAACCGAAACCACGCTTACTGATCTAGGTGATAATAGGGATGATGAGGACTCTACCATTGTTCATACCCACTCTGGTCGATTGATGAAAAATTGAATATATATGAATGTTTTACACATTTCAACTTTTTAATATTCAAAACAAAGACACTACAACACACGTAAGAACTTAAAGGGCGCAGTAATGTTTTTCGCCATTTATATGACGCCGTATAGTGTATATCTTGATAGAAATTACAGCCTCATCGACATAGCTAAAATGTTCTCCTTTGCCTTAGCTCTTCACTGCTATATTAATACGTACACAAGTATGAATTTAAAGCTGCATTTGTTTTCCTTTACAGTTCGTTCGTTTCTTTCACGTTTCATGAAGCAACATCATAAGCAATCCAATGGCTGAAGCCCAGGGCCTAAGCACAAAACATATGTACAGTCCTGGTCAAACGTTCTCAGGCCATGCTTCATGAAAATTTATGGGATAGTTGAATGAGATAGTGAATGGAATGAATGAATGGGATAGTTATGGGATAGTGAATGGGATAACAAGAGTGTAGTGTATCATGGTTCAATCTATATTTTCAGAGGCTGTTCTGATGGAAACACCCCAGTGCAACATTTGCTTAGAAATGGAGTCTATAGAGCACTATTTTTGTCATGTGTACTGAGACGTCCCCCGCTACGCCACCGATTACCAAAGAGAGGGAAGACCACTCAACCCCTTGTCTATCCGGTTCCCTCTTGGCTACGTGTCTCAATCACTTTCCACATACAGGGATTCGTGCTAGGGCCGGGAAGTAAGAGACGCTACGACCTGTTTCTGTTCACTGATTCATTAAATTTAATACTAACTGCAAACATCGTATACCCGCGTACATCAACCATTACACAAAATTATAACTCAAGATTTACACACTCGCGACGTGAGACGCAGGATTCATAAGGGAAATAACTTTGACAATACAATGGTGTGACGATACAAAGTAAACACAGGCCAACACAAATGATAAAATTATTATTTAATAAAACCGCGCAATGTCTCAATATCCCGCATCCCTTCCCGCAAAGCTCGTTTAAGTAAAGGAGGTGAAGTTCGTCTCACGAATAGTCCTTGTGGTCAGTCTTCACCGTCTTCGTCGTCTTCGTTGTCTCTCTCGGCGATTTCCATCTTAATCTTCTTTCATAACGTCCCGCAATCACTTGTTTGCTCGTTTCCCATCTTTAACTTTCATTCCTCGTCATATCATCTCTGCCTCAGTCATCATCTCATCGCCTCTCATCACTATCTCTTCACACCGTTATCTTCCTTTTCCATTCCGTCTCTCTACCACCTCGACCTCATCGCATCGTATCTCCGACCCTCTTCGCATCGTCTCTCTCTGACCCCCTCGTATCGTCTCGTAGTCCCTTTTTGTAGGACCCGACTCCGCTCTACCGGGGCACCAAACCAGTCGCCACTTCACGCGGCATATCTTTTCTTCTCAGTCCGAGTGTATCATCTTCGGCGGCCGCCCCCGCGTCCTACACCAGTAGAAAACCCCCTCCCTAACAAAGCCGAGCAAGTAACAATCTACAAACTCAAGCCTCAGGGAGAGTGATGGGCGAGCCGTCCAAAGACACTTTAATTACGGGCGAACCATGGTCCCGATGCTCCCGGTACTTGGTGAGCCGATGTCCAGACCAAGTCTCAACGTTTCCATGTAGCTCGGTGTCTCCCGCGAAATTCTCCCTAGCCGCCGCTTTTCCGTCATTCACCGCCGCGGGCGGCCATCCGCGCAGAACGCAGTAATGAGCCCTGGAGCCACGGAGGCTGACAGAAAGTCATACTGGACCCGGCACAAGCGCCGCGGCAGCGTCGCAATCCCCGAACCAACAAAAAGGTGCTCTGCTGTTCCGCCACGCCACAAATCTGAAGGGCGCGAGCAGATTATCGCCACCGTACACTGTCGCACGGTCTGTAGACGACAAGGCGCCGCCCGGTCCTCGCGTTTGCGCGGGGGAGCCCGCGAGAATAGTAGAAATAATCCTTCCAGTACTCCACTCCGGAATGCCCATTCGTTACGCCGAACGTTTTCTTTTCCTCTTTTTTATGCGTGGGTTTGAGAAACGAGCCTACACATCTTGAAAAGAGTGGGGTTCAGTCCGTGTTTGCAGGGACGTCACAGTACATTAGAGATTGCCAAGAAAATTGCGATAGAGTGTCAAAAACATCTACCTGTTAGTGCTCCTAAATCAAATCAATTACATTCGCCCAATATGAACTAAAAACCTTCAACAGAGAACTGTTCATGTCTTCATTAAATTTTCAGTAAAACAGTGACTAAGCTAATGAGTCATATTCATAGTTCAAATCAATTACACTCGTACAATATGAACTAAAAACCTTCAACAAAGAACTGTTCATATTTTTCATTAAATTTTGAGTGATCAGAATATAACAATGTGCAAAGAATATGCTGTGTATGTTTGATATAAAATGTACAGATGTGTCTGAACTTGGATGGCTTCACAGTTTATTTTAATGCACCCACCGAAGAACACTGTCGGCACTGTATTGTGCAAATATAGCATTGCTGTCTTCCTATCTTAAGTTCAAGATTATACATATCACAAGTATCATGCCACATTGGCCTTCTCAACATTGTGAATTCAGTTAGACTGTAGAGCTTGATGAAGTGGCCTGTTTGAATAAAAATTCTCAGCATTGCATTCAGTAAATTAATGTTTTGTCGTGTAGAATGTGTCAACATGAGCACCGAAAGAACGTTTGACCGCGTATGCAGTGCTGAATTTGAAGAACGCTCGAAAGAGTCGAGCTACGTTACTGAGACCAGTTATGAGCTTACTCGGTATACTCAATGAGTCATACTCAGTAACACACTCGTACTGATTTGTTTCTTTTATGCGTTTGCAACGTACAGCTGTGAGGATGTTGTGAACATGAAATTTGAAATAGCGTCAAGGAGCTTTGCTTAAAGTATGTCAGTGACGCTGTGTGAATGCCTGCACTAATTTAAGTCCTTATTTATTCTTCAACGCTAGATGTATCTTTAAGTAAGGAGGCATATTCAAACAATATGGGGGTTGACGTCAATATAGAAATTTCGTAAACATCTGCTGGTGTATCCTCGAATAACAACGTATTACAAATAAAAAGTGCATGCAAAAAACACCATCTGTACACACATGAGCCCTTACGATTTATGTGCGTACATTTTGTTGTATATGAGCTAAGTATCACTAAATGTTTGCTTAGCAGCGGTTTCCGAAGGAAATTTTATTGAGCAAGTATGTATGTGTATCGAAGTCGACAGCGATATCTGAACAAACATGAAGACAAGGGTGCGTTTACATGTACCTCAAGTAGAACTGTGTTTAACAGTACGTTATGTTGGGCTAGTTGGTAAATATTAGGCTGAAATACGTGGCGCAAGGTTGACAAAGAGAAAAAAAGAGACGAGACAAAAAGAGTGCCAGAAACGGCGCTCTTTCTGTTTCGCCTCTTTTTTTTCTCTTTGTCAACCTTGCGCCACGTATTTCAGCCTAGATCTGTGTTGTACAGGAACTTCCAGCACATATAAAAAAATAACCGATATATATAGAAAATAGTAAACACTCAATAAGCTAATCAAAAACCAAAACAAAAATTTATTTGAATGTTTCATGTCTACAATGAAGACATGTAATACGATTGCTTTCAAAATAACGTCAATCACAGATGTTACACGCTTGCAATTGACTGGCTGCTATAAGACTCGGTGGTGCCGTATCCAATGAATATTTCTGTTAATTTTCTTTTAGCCAGTATTTAAATATATACATTCGCTTTTTTTTGGCTACCCAATTCTTTGCCGATTCCCCAGGGTGGGTGTGAGCCACAACTTTAGGGTCTATATCTGCATCTACATCTTTTCGGTGTGGGCGTATGCAATGCGTATAATTTAAATATCTGCAACATGGACAGAAAATTCAGATACAGTTAATGAATGAGAATGAAGTCCTAGTGCCAATTTGACATGTAAACTGAGCATAAAATTACAACCCGCCGAAAAATACCAGTGGGCCGACAATAGAATGAAATGATCGCGATGTGCGGTGACAAATTGATGAACAATAAGTTAGACGGTAAAAAAAAAAAGCGGATGTTTTACAGTCGGTGTCTTATGAAACAGAATTCTCCACAACTTTTATGTTACTTTTTAAGACCTGCCCTGCGCACTGAGTCGTCGCTTGGATGAACAAGCAGCGCCGGTTGGCTACGTTAGAGTTCAACAGCAGCGAAGTGTCTGGCGTCCTAAATTGCGCACATTCACCGGGGTTGACGCTGTCGCAGGGTCCCGACGCGTCACACAGTCTGACGTCGTACAGGACCACGTCTCCTGAACGGGAAGGCACCGAGTCCCAGAATATTTGGGTTTCCATTGGTTCCGATTTGTATTTGTAGAAGGAGATGTTGCTCGGAGGGTCCGGAGCTGGGAAGAGAGAACAACACGGCAGATTAAAATGCAAAAAAATACATATATATACACAAGCTCCCGCGGTGGCCTCACAACAGACGAGAAGCTGATACTGATGTATTGCGGCCACGCGGTAACAAATACAAGGAATACGTTAAATACAGGACACAACCCATACTCTTGTCTTTATCTTGTATTTTGTATTCTTCACCACGCTGCAGTAATACATCAGTATGAAGCAAGCCAACTCGCCAACCTAGCCGTTATAATGCAAGTCAATAAGCTTTCAAGTTTATCAGTTCAATGGTTAGCATCAGACGATGCGCAATTATTACCGCGTTTCAAATGCGGAGCTTTTCTTACCCTACATTCAGAAACGCTGCTTGTCTTGAACTTGAATTGCCACCGACTTCGATGCAGTACAAAGGCGTTGCAAACACGCGGTCTTTAGGCGGTGCCAAGGCAGCACAAACGCACAAACACGTTTAAAACGCGCTGCGTTGAAGGCAGTGGCAAGACAAGTTCAAATCAAGGAGCGTGTCTCAATACGAGGGTAGTACGTCGCACGATGTCATGCTTTGGCGTCCATGAAGGCACCGTTCACACCCCCACTGTGCATGATCATTTTCGCGTTTCATGCCGCATGCACGCGTCTTGTGCAGAGACGTGCAGGCTCGTGTGTCGTGCCGACCCCACACCGTCTCAGGAAGACACACGCAAAACTGTCGCTATAATATATGCCACAATATTATAGTATACTCTAGGCACTATACTGTCACTCCTCTCTCCCGCTCTGGCCAAGCAAGGCCACACAGACAACGTCTGCCAGCAAAAAAACGATTGCTTGCACAGCACAACCATTCACTGACCACCCCGTAAATGTAAATACCGGATCACGCGTTAGGAATTCAGTCAAGGGTGTCCTGATTTGGCTTTCGCTTGACGTTGAGAGCAACGCTTCTCCTTCGTTAAATAAATAAGAACAATGAAGACGATATACCAGTCAATCATTTGCAAACCATACCCAGTTACGCAACATTTACGGGATACCTTCACCACTCTGCGACGCATTCAATCAAGTTCTCCCCGTTGAAAGATGTGGGCGGCATTTTTTCATCTCTACAGAGTCTGCGAAAAACGCAGTCGTTTTAGGACATCAGACACCTCATCAAACGGAAGAATTGAACGGCGTCCCACGTCACCAGCGTCAGCAATGGTGATGCACAAGCCATCATCTTGTGATGCCGTTCCTTAAAACCGAAATTTCTTGATTTCATTATGGCGTAAACGTGATATCGCAAAACGTAACGTCACGTGATGAAGTTATCACGTTACATTGTTGCTTGGCCAATGATGGGACGGTCAAAGAGGCGACAAGAAAGCAAGTTAGGTGTAGAAAACTATCTTCGGGTGGTGGGGCAGGTTTAGCACTGTAAAAAAAAACTTGTTGCGCTAGATTTTGATAGAACATTTCAAAAGCTAATTTGAGCACAAACACACCACGCATCCACACGCACCCAGGCATCAAACACGCACCGCGCTTACTTCCGACTGTGCTTGCTCGATGCTCTACAAACTACACACGACACATCTCCGTCTGAGCGGTAATGTGTCGTGCATTGGCGCTGAAACTCTTTTTTTAAAGGTTCAGTACATCACCTGAAAAGAAAGAATCTTGACTTTGTCGGTCTCGCCAAGCAGAAGTTACAATCACCAGACTTTGATGCCGTATGTCCTAATTGATCTTTTATTTACACTGGGCTGGTCGGTCGATATCGCCCCTCTGCCAATTCTGTGGGGATATAAAAACGATTGAACTTGTCTTTTTGGTATGTCGGAGATACGCATTTATTAGAGGACTACTTGTTCCTCCACTCTCTAAAATTGTACTAAATTTAAGTGCATAAATTGTACTAAGCTTTGGTGCCTCAGTTCTGAGGCGTTGCCAAAGGGATGTTTTTGATGTGGTTAGCAGTAAGATTAAAGCTTTCAAATCGACTGAAGGATCTTGTTTACTACAACAAGTATTTAATAAGAAATATACAAATATTTAAAACAGAAAAGCGTTAGAATACAATACACTGCCATGATCAGGTTAATTTTTCGAACTGGTCTACCAGCATAATTGCATGATGACTCCAATTTTTTTATTACCCAGTCTTCCTTCTTTATTTATTTATTACTTAAGCATTGAACGTTGTTGAAATTATCTATTAAATTTGAAATTATGACACCTGACCAATCCCCCAGTTCAAGTACGTGTCATATTATTTCAGGCACCAGCAAAACAAACAAAACAAATACGTTCAGTAACCTTAAATGAGCATATAAGGAAGCGTGTGAGTTTTTCAATTACCTTGTACTTATGACACTTTTAAGCGTAAATTTATTTATGAATTTTTTTCATAAGCGCCGCAACCATACTGTGAATCTGTTGGACGCCTTTGTGTGTGACGTCGGATCAGATCCGAAGACTCGAGTTTTCTATACATGCATTGAGTTCTATGTACATGGCTGCTTTTACTTTTGGTAACCTGTTAGGGAGAAAAACCGCGTCTAGTTATTGGCCGCAATACTCTACAAAATTAGGCAACAATGAAGTGTGTGTGTTGCCCCGCCGCGGTGGTATAGTGGCTAAGGTACTCGGCTGCTGACCCGCAGGGCGCGGGTTCGAATCCCGGCTGCGGCGGCTGCATTTCCGATGGAGGCGGAAATGTTGTAGGCCCGTGTGCTCAGATTTGGGTGCACGTTAAAGAACCCCAGGTGGTCTAAATTTCCGGAGCCCTCCACTACGGCGTCTCTCATAATCATATAGTGGTTTTGGGACGTTAAACCCCACATATCAATCAATCAAGTGTGTGTGTGAGCAGCAAAAAGTAACAATGCAATAGAAAGCAAAATTTAAAAAATATGTCTAATTTTCTATGAATTATGTTCATAATTGTTGGGGTTTAACATTCTAAAACATGAGAGAAAAAAAGAGAGGTTAAAAGAAAGGTAAGGGGCTAACGAGAACAAATGTTTTTGGTTTGCTGCCCTGCACAGTAGAAGTGGTAAGACTAAAAAGAAAAAAAAGAAAAATATAAAGTGTCAAAATATAAAGAACAAAAAAAGCTTCGCACTCAAGTGGGCCGAAATCACTGTATCGCTGTGAGGAACACAGCAGAGGAGGGCTCTGAAAACATAGCCATCTGGTACTCCTGAACGCGCTCTTTATTCTAATAACACGAGTCGCTTTCAGTTCGCCTGTATCAGGAATGCGGCTACCGAAGCCGGAACCGGATCCCGCGAGTGACGGGTAGAAGGCAAGGATGAACTGCAATGAAATGGAGCCAGATCGAAGAAATACTCGATGTTTCCACCATTAGGTTAGCCTCATGCGAACGCCAAACAACATGGTGCTTTTAGACGCGAACAGATTGCACCATGAATCAAGCGTATACTTACAGCCCCTGCATTTACACAAAAGGTGCTCTTAAGGAACACGAACTGGTCAAAACTTCCGCAGCACTTGACCGTATGTATCTCGTAATCATATTCTTTGCTCGGGACGAAAACTCCTGACTATTTTATATGATACCGGGATTCCCTAACAAGCAGTAAAATCACTAGGCTTTTTTTTTTCTTTTTCAGAGTTTGCCCAAACAAAATGTGTCAGACATGGTGAGGAAACGAATCCACGTCTTTGAGATTATAAGCGCGCCGCGCAGCAAGCTCTAAGTCACTATGACGTCACCACCCAAGAACTACAGTAGGCGACGACATGACGAAGAGTATTTTTTCTTTAGATTTCGCATGAAACATTAGCGTAGAAAAGGTTGATGTGATGTTCATCCGTAAAGTCCATATGGCATGCCACAACTATTTATTCTTGTATATATAAGATTTCTGTATTTGATTGATATGTGTGGTTTAACGTCCCAAAACCAACATATGATCGTGAGAGACGCTGTAGTGGAGGGCTGCAGAAATTTCGACCACGTGCGGTTCTTCAACGTGCGCCCAATTCTGAGCACAGGAACCTACAACATTTCAGGCTCCATCGGAAATGCAGCCGCCGCAGCCGGGAATCGAACCCGCGACCTTCGGGTCAGAACTCAAGCACCTTAGCCACTTAGACCACCACGGCGGGGCTATAAGATTTCTTTCTACTTCCGCTGCGTTAGCTCGCATTGACAACAGACCTTTGTCTGAACAATCAGTGCTGGAAAGACGACATGATTTGTGTGCTCACAGAAAATCAGTGAAGGCCTTACTGAACTTTTTGCGTGGCAGCGGCCTATTGTATAGACTGTAGCACCCCAGCCCCCCCCCCCCCCTTTTTTTTTCGCGCGCGTCTATTTCCCTCTTCGCTTTCTTTCCAATCTTTCTTCCCCATTACCCCTTCCCCTAGTGCAGGGTAGCAAACCGGATGCTCCATTTTCTGGTTAACCTTCCTGCCTTTCCCTCATTTTATTCTCTCTCTCTCTCCGCGGTTCTTGTCAATAGAAATGATGAAAGCAAAATTTCCCAGAGACTTCTTCATTTCACAGCCATTTTGTTTTTTGTTCTGTTTGCAGAACATGAAACACTAAATGACTCGCATTTATTCATGCGCAGAAAGAGCGGCATTGGGTTCCTCAACACCAGTGCTTCGTGGTTGAGAGAATAAAAAAAACTTCTCAGATGTGTCCGTAACGAGAGTAAACTGGTAAAGCCACAGAGGATGCGAATGGTGTCGTAGCGACAACGCAGTAGTGTGAGCCACTTCCTGTTTCCGAAGTATGCCCGCTGCAACTCACGATAGCGACGCGACACATGTGCTGCAGCCTCAGGGTTTTTTTTTTTTATTTTGTTCGGCGCGATACGCAGTTAGCACGTGCGCGTTGCATGGCGCGCCTAAGTCGTCATATGCTCATTCGACGAGTAAGTTTCATTATTTTTCGTAAAGTACGCACCAGCTGAGCGCTACAGGCCGACATTATTAACAACACAAAAAGTCTTGAGAACCTCCTGCCATGATGTTAAAAAACAAGGAACACAGAGGAACCTCTGTATTACAAGCCCCTACGTTAGCATTCACGCTAATAACAAATTACAACGGGTCTTCGCGATGTAAGATTAGGTACAAGAGAAAATGCATGAATAATACCTTGGATTTTACGTGCCAAATTGCGATATGTGGATACGAGCCACATCCTGTTTAGGGTTCAGAAAATTTTCGAAAATTGGGGGATAATTGCACTGACATCGAACAGTATAGGGGGTGCTTGCATCGAACCGCACCAGAAGTTACGTCCTCAGGGGCAGCGGTGAAATACACAACATCCGGGTCTGCATCTGATAGAGGAAGTTGTAATAAACTGCTACACATTTTTTCATTGATTGGGCGAATGAGATACATTTTAGTTGTTTTAAGTATAGTGTAGCATTACGTACCATAGATAATATGCCAGTTCTTGGTGCACACCTGTCGTGTTTTTGCATCGTGCAATATATTCATTCAGCTGTTGTGCTAGCTTCGTACGAAATGTTTGAAAAATCAATCAAATATATTTACAAAAAAGTCAGCAGTTTTTTAAGTTAGGGTAAGACATTCTGTTTTTTCTAGCACTTTCTCTTCAAACTCCAATTAGGGATTTCGACATGTCATTTTGAATTCCATGCAAACGCAATCCTACTTTATACTGTACAATAATGTTCATTTAGCTTCTGGCACAAGTATAATACAGATTAGAGGCTCTAAGGCATTCCTCATTTTGATTACGCAACCGCTTTTGTTAGTTTGCACACACCTATCTACACAAGAAGCTATGCTGTCCATATAGGTACTATGAAAACAATATTGCATTAGAAAAGAAAGTTGGGTTAGTTGGCTGTTAATGCTTGCATATAAAAGCAGCGCAAAAGTACAGAGAGAGATAAAAGGAAAGCATTGTCGTCTTCTCGACTTTTCTTCCGGGTTTGTCAGTATCTTCACTCTGTTTTTTCAACCAAGCAATGTTGCACTGAAAATATTTCTCCACTGCCTGTATTGAAAACGCTCGTCTATCGACAATTAGAGGGTTTTATTAGACCTTGTAGCCTCTATGTAACCGGTAATAGAAAATATTCACATGACGAGTGGAAAATGGCGACGTAGTCGCGTACGTTATTACCTAGTCTCACACCTACATATTTCATGAAATGCGTAGTGCTTTGTGATGGTTTTTTAAATTTCATTATGTACAAAGTACGCAAACGTTTAGAAGCTACAAGGTCTAATAAAACCTTATAATTGTCAACAAACGAGATCATTAGGTTGAACTGCACAGCACAAGTTAGTGCCTTATATAGTCTGCTGAAAATCTATATCCAAGGCTATTGACCAAAGCAGCTAAGATATTAATATTTTTCTTCGTCATTTAGCTCTTTATCTAAGTGAGCAAAGTCTCGATCACAAAGCCAAAGTAAAGATGTACCCTGCCCGACAACACCCTGGTAACCAAGCGCACCCACTCACAGCATGCATCAGAACAAAACATTATACAGTAGCAATAAAACTGAACCAGTTTTACACACTGTGAACACACAGCTTAGTTTTATAATAGTAAAGAAAGAGTATAATAAAGCTGCATATAACGATTCCGCAGAAACACATTGCTATTCCACAAAAAAACTAATAATCTTGAGGAGAAGAAAAAACTAAGCTTTGCTTTTTTTTATTATACAAAGAGTTCAGAGACAAACAGTTTGATTAAATTCTGTAACCTGTCTGCTTTAAAAAGACTTAGTAGGAAGTATAAAAATCGTTCATCTGCGATAGTTAATTCGGACATGCTGAATTATATAATTGTCATGCGTTAACTTATAAAGCACATTGCTGGGAAATTGCTGTTGAATATATCTAGACGTATTTAGCACCATTTAGTTAAAGACACGTCAAAGTGAATTCGGCTTCCTGATCCTGTTACCACGGATTTGATCCTTAAGCATTCGAAGCAGGCTGTGAGCGGTGTATGTAAGGCAATCAAAAGACTTCAACTTACCGTATCCCGGAAAGAAGATGGGCAGTCGTACGCCATCGGAACTGCTAGTAGAACTGCTCCGGCGGGGAAAGTTGAGAACGTGCACTGTGACAGTAAGGTTCGTACACGGTGCAACGCCACCACACGTCAGCTGCGTAACATCGGGCATGAGGATTGTGCCATTGGAGCAGAGTCCAGCCCTGCGCTCTCCGTTACCATCGTCGATGCCACTGGCGGCAACAGCGCTAACTCGGACCCAATACTGGTCGACGATACCTTCAGGCTTCTCCCAAGACACGGTAAACGTTCCGTTTTCCGCTGACACCAGTGTGAGGTTCACTACTTCAGGAGGCTCTGCGTTTGGGAAAAACGCAAGAGTTTTTTTTTTCTTTTCGCACTAAATCAATGTTTTCTGAAAGTGCACGTGGCAGCGAAAACACTTTTTTAATAAGCAAACCTGAACTATAACTCGCGAACACGTCTATTGAATGACAAAATTTGTTTGTTTCTTAGTTTGTTTCTTAGTTTTGAATATTTGTTACTACAGATTTTATTTTTGAATACCGCAAGCCTTCCATAAGGTTTCAGAGGAGTTGATGTATATTAATGAATTCACAAATAGGCAAACAAATATGAATACAACGGAGAAAGCAGTGCACTCTTTCGGAAGGAAAAAAATCTACAAGAAAATAATTGATACAGTGAGCAAAATAAACAACCCCGAGCATATGTTTTGAAGTCCAGACACTCACTGTTGGAGATGCGTAGCAAACATGCTTAATGATATTCACAGTACTACAGTTGCGAGTGGTACAACTTAATTTTATTGATGCACCACTTCTACGAAGGAGGTGAATGATTCGTAAAACACTTTACAAAATTGCAACTGTGGAGAAGCAGTATTGAAAAAATAGGAGACGTAGGAAAATTATATTATCAGCTTAACAAGAGTACACCCAGTTTGCTACCCTACATGGGGGAAGAGGGGAATAAGGTAGTAAAAAAGGGACAGTGAAAGAAAGTCAAGAAGATGCTCAACGCAATCCACAAATAGTACAGGGTTTCACTGGGAATCAGCCACTAACTGATGTTTTCTTAGTGGATTGTAGAAGGGCTTGTGTGGATTTCTGGGCTGATGTGCTTAAAAACCATGCATCTAAGATCTTTTCCTAACTGAAACCCTAATTATCCAGTCCCCTCAAGGCACACTATGGAATCCGGAGATGTCGCTTAAAGTCAGGACTGTCGCATGAGACTTGGTCACACAGTTTCTGGACAGAGTTATCACACTTGGATAAGTCAGACATACCACTGCGATAGCTGAATTACCTGGTAAACGGTACACCAACCCACAATCTACAATATTTTTTTTAGTGTTGGCGTTTTCTTATATTAGGCTTTTAATGAAACGCTTAACATATTGACACCGCTTTTCATACCCGAGTTTATCAGATTAGGTAGAACAAGCATTTCATAAGCAGAGGTTCTGTTTTGAAATGCCATGTGTTTCAAATGTTCTCACGCACAATGATAACATTAAGTCAAACCTAGTTTTAAAATTCATGTAAAAACACAAAAGTAGCTTGGTTTGCCTGAGGTGTAAAGCATAAAAATGGAACTCACTGTGATCTCGATCACCCTGAAAAGTGAAAAAAAAAAAGTGAAACTGTTATGAAAAGAAACATAGCAAGCAGCCGTAGCTGCAAACATCAATAATAAGGGCATTCAAAGATGCCAAACAACTATTGTAGAATGAACTAAAAAAATGCATGACATTCCACAAAATTTCGGCAACTCAATACTTGGAAGCATTATTGAACGGTGTAGCCGTATGACGGCTGGTTGTTTTATATTTCTAGCAAAGACGAAAAGCAGATCATGCCGTAGCCTTTGCCGTTTCCTCCCACCTGTCATTACGTGATATTTTCTCCCCAATTCCTTTCATACAAACGCTAAGACAAGAGACGCTTATTATCGAGTCAAGTGAAAGTGAATATCAAGTTAAAATAAATGTTGACATACCCCGCAAAATTCGAGGCACGTGTACATGAGGGACTAAAGTGGCTTGTAATTTTACACTTTGCGCATTACAGTTTTGAAAGAAAGCAAAAATTAAGTTTATAAATCTATTTAGAAAACATCGATTGCAGATTTTCATTTCTGGAAGCTTGGCACACATCAATTTGAAATAAAAATACTAGGTAGAATAAATAAACAAGGTAACTTACCCACGAGACTCCAGCAAACAGCACCACGATGATAATAACGAGTACAACCAAGACAGGTAAACCAATCTTCAGGGCAATTGAGGACGGCGTGCATCCACGCCTTATGTAGGGCTGCTGCGATGACAACATGGCCACTCTTCGGACTTATTTTTAAAAGCGAGGCGATTCTCGAAATTACACGGGCTCTGAATCTCTACCACGTCGCGAGGAGGTCGTTTTGAACGGCTGCGCTATCTGAAACCGCTGACGTCAACAACACGTGCCAACGAAAAAGCCCCTCTGCATTGCACGGAACTTCCTAACTGCACCCGCTCACCGGGAAACCCGACGCCGATATGACTCCGCTACGCCACGCCTCTTCGGCGTCATCCCTACTCGACGCTGCAGACAAGTTGCGCAGTTTACAGGTGTATTCGAAAGAGCTAGGCGAAACCGTATTACGTCATTTTTCTCGACTTTTCGGGTACGTGAATGCGTGCTGACAGCTGACAAGGCCCAGGATGGCTGATAACTTGTCGGAGTTACAAAATTAGGAAGTTTGCAAGGATCAGCTTGCGTAGAATAGGATAACCTGGCGATGATAGTCTGAGGCTTTCGTCCGGTTATAGGCTGTCACTGCATTAACGTGATGATGATTATGATGATTATTAACCTAACGATCGTGAACTTCGCCTTATCTCACACTTTCAACGCCCCGCTGATTGTTAACAGCGCTACATTCAGCATTTTGCACCAGAAAACAATCTAACTTAGATGCAGGGTTTATAGATTTTCCTAATACACTAAGGTGTAACTCTACACACTCCCTAGTAATCTGTGTTACTTCAAACGCTCCGTGAAGATCACAGAAAAAAAAAAAAAAACACGCGCCGCAGATTGCGTGCAGCCAAAAGGAGAACTACTCGTGAAAAGGTAAAGGAAAAACGCAACGCTCCGGTCTATTCGCCCAACAGTTAGCGCGTGACTCTGGTCAGTCGGAAGCGGCTCGTAGTGAAGCGGTCGGCCGTGAAGCCCCGGTAACATGCAAACCACTCAGACAAGTGGAGAGAGCGAAGCAAAACGCACAAAACGACAGAGACCTTGCCCTGCCAGGCAAGAGAGAGTCCTCGTTTGTCCGCTTTCGCTTTCGTTTTTTTTCCCTTTTCTCTCTTTTGCAGAGACCAAGCGTCATTGTCCGTTTCATGCAACACAATACACCGCTCACCATTTCACTAGCGTCGCGTCACCACCGCACTGCTGCGTTCATTCTTAGTCGAGCAACCGGCACAGCCTCATCCTGTCACCGTTGCTGGTTGGTTTGAGTATTGCAGGCTCAAAATACAAAGAGCAATAACCTGAAAGCAAGGTACAGAGAGAGAGTTGGAATGCCATTTGTTTTGAAAAAGGGAGCCAGCTCAGAAGCTATAGTGGAGCAGCGTAGGCGAACAGGACGAATGCATTATGCGCCATACTCATCCCACAAAAGAGCGCGTAGGCAGGAGTAGGTCACGTGATATAGGGCAGTTTTTCAAAACAAAAGGTTTTGAACGAGCACAGGAACAGCCTACAGGTGCGGTGAGGATGTGAAATAATGAAGCGTTGAGCTGCAGTAAATAATATTGAACGCATAGGTGTAGGGCATACCGCTATCTGTAGGGTATGCCGCTCTGTGTATACGGTATGCGATTGTACCTGGCGTGTGTAGATTTCATTGTTGGTGAGTCACAGTTACTTAAGCACCTAATAGCTACTCGTAAAATCTTATGGCCGTGTTTTATTGCTGGTATGTTCGGAAAGCTTCGTTGACGGCACAGTTGTCACAGATTATTACATTGATTAATACGTTGACAGCTTGTGACCAGCTCATTGGTTTTGAAAGAATTCATTTGGCTGATTTTGCAGAGAACTGAAAGTGCACGTCATCAATTTCAATTGTAAGTAAACATATTGCAGAGACGTATACACAAAAGCAATAAAATGGTGGGATGTAGGATCTAGAACAATTTCAAATTTATGCTATAATATTGCGTAATGATCGCATTCAAGCTGGTTAATGTAGAGGCTACAATGCAAGGTGCAGTATGGAACGTTTAAATAGAATTGACATCCGCAGACCAAGCAATAAACTGAACAGTTTGCGTCGCGCAAACCTTTGCTATTGAATATACATCGGCAGCTTAAAGAATTTCGTGAGATGCATCATGCGGTTAGTTACTTGTTATATTCAGCATCGCGGTTCTGAGTGGCAGGGTAAACCCCTGGTCGTTTCATATGCATTAAAATACGTGTCGAACATTTCATATTTGAACACTGTAAGATATCGGAGAATGGCGATGTTCCTGAAAATTCTGTCGTCAGTGTCCATGGAAAAAAAGAACTACTTCTCGAGCGTATACCGCAAACGGGGACATTCTCCGAGGAGGTAAATAACTTTCGAATGAAGATTATAGGTCCGAGGCAGCATTCACCAATGGACTGAGTGGGTGCTAAGCTGAACGTGCGAACTTGTGGCATGGCTAACGCCACACACGCCCTAACGGTCGTTTGCGCCACGACCGTGTAGCCACACCTCAAATGCGTATTGGTTTCTATTCCGCGTTGCCGAGCAAGCGTATGCGGTACTTCCCTGAGCACAAGAGTAAAGCTTGTGAGCGAAGAATTGTGTGTACGTGTGTGTGTGTGTGTGTGGAAATCGCTATCACGTTGAACTCTGAAAGATGAAGCTTCAAATTTCACTAATTTCTAAAATATATTTTTAGCCAAATAACAATGCTCTGGTCTGTTAATAAATTCACGGCGTCGCAATCATAGGCGTGCTCACGTTTCGTCTTCAGAAGAGCCAAGTTGCACAGAAGACCCTCCCGCCCAAACAGGCCGCGCCCCACTTTGCTACCTCCCACCCGATACTTCCAACAACCCATCAAGTCTACGAAAGACAAGCTTCGCAATGAATACAAGCGTGAAGTTGCAACGACGGTATCTTTCTCATGAAGGCTCCGCCTTTTCTGAGGGCAAGGGGAGGAGTTAACAATTTTCTTGAATGCAACACCACATTCTTTGGCAGTTGTTATGATAAAGAAGTCTGCACAACCAACACACTAAACATTTAAAAATGTTTGGACAGCTCCGAGTGAGCAGAGAGATGATGCCTACTTCATATCTCTCCTCAGTGTCCCTCTAAATGGTGCTCTAGAGAGGCGACAGGCAGATGGAAATTTCAACAAGCAACTTAGCGAAACAATGAGTCCAAATACGCATGTGTAAGAGGAATCGGCAACTTTGAAAGCTGGGCAGGAAACATAAAAACAAAATGATACATCACAATACGTGGTACTTTCTTTATGATACTGCATCAGACCTATGCCTTCTCGAACATTATGAATGTGAACGCCTAATGCTTATAGCACTGTTTGCGACGTCTGATGAGTAGCGCTTTCAATGACGGCTTTTTTAATTGTATAGACCTAAAGCACCGGTTCATTAGGTGCCGTGCCAGAAAACGTTCTGAAGTCGAGAAGGTGATTATCTCAACTTGGGAGCCAATGTGCTGCTTTTTGCTAGGTGCAAGCTAAATTACACACTGAACTTCAATCAGTCGCATAACTCGAAGCTTTTTTTTTCGCTTGTACGGATGTTTTATTACACGATATAACATTCCATCACGTGCCGCATGGACCTATTGCAATATAAGCTTGTATGCCTTTACGGCTCACTTGGCTGAATGCTTGAAGAGAGTGAGAAAGAATAAAAAATGAAGGAAGGGTAACTACACCACGTGCACTTTGAAACTTTACACGTGGGGAGATGGGTACAAGAAAATAAAATAGATAAAGAAAGAGCTGATGTACATTGGACATCACAAACGCAGTGCAGGGTTTCGTAGAAAGTCGCTCAGTGATGTTGTCTTTCAGAATTCTAGATGGCCTCGAATGGCTTTCGGGGTTGATGTACTGAAGATCATGCACTTAAAGTCTGCTTCTCAGTAAAGGAACAATTATCCAGCATCCTCAAAGCACACTGGAGATTCGGGTGTTCTAGTTGGAAGTCAGGACAGATAGCACAAGACACCGTCAAGAGTGTTACACAGTCGCACTTGGGAAACTTGGATCAGTCAGCCATACCGATGCGATAACTCATTAACAGTTTGAAAGCAGTTGCTATTAACGGCAATTTGCCTGATATACACGCTGACTCCTGCACAGCTAGTGCTTTCCTCCTGATCTAGAAACAAAAAAGAGTGTACAACCAACAGTCGACTGCTTCACAGACAAATAAGGAGCTACAAAGGCTCATTCGCACTATATTACGTAAATAGGGTGCTGTCACGTGCTTTCCAAGGATTCCGACAGCACGTGCGAAGGTGTCAATCTACTGTTCGAAGTTATTTTGACAAATGCTGCAGCCAATATGTTCATACCACTTGTGCCAGTCTACTCATTCGTAAGAAATACCTGGATAGCCAATATCCCCGTAAACTTATGCTACTGTGGATGGATGAACGTAGCTATTGCTGTTTACGACGTTGACGTCTCTGCGCCTAGCATGACTTGCTTGGGATTCAGCTCAGTTAGGCGAGCTGTACTCGGAGTCTTCGTCTCTTCCAATTTATAAGGATAGTTTACCAGGAGTAATGGCACACAATATTTACACTTTTCTTTTCGTTCTGCGCGATACGCAGTCACACGTACTGCGCCACACATACTGACGCAGTATGTGTGGCGCAAGAAGAAAAGACCCACAATCAGATTTGCTTTGAGTGAAAGCGAGATCCCAAAAAACGTGCTGTCACCTTCATAGAGCAAAAAAAAAAAAACAGTTCTTTCTTCTCTACGACAGTGGATGGTGCTGCCTAATGCCCTCAGAACTTGAGACTTTATTCCAATGATTGAGCGAAACAAGACAAGATTGCATGGATCAGTAGAAACACCAGGCAAAATGCTTTGTTGACCTCAGTGTTTGTTGTTCTGCGCCGAAGTACAATTCAGATTCATATTTTCTTGGTAAATGAAACAATTTCCAACACCATCAGCCCAAGTTCAGTTAAAATGAAGGCAATTTTATCTTACCATTCGAAGATACAGGTTAAGGAAGATTTTAGGTTGATCCAAGACAAAAGCACATGTCATTCAACTACGCAAACAGGGTGAGATAAGAAACATTAGTTTTATTCAAAATATACACAGCGGCGTGCAGAAGTAACTGCTGAAATACACTATGAAAGAGACTGGTTTGTTCAAAAATAGCACATCACTTGCCTTCACTCCAACGACACATTGAATTGCGCTAATGGCAAGACGCTACAAGGCACGTGATCTAGGAACTCCATCTCCTTGAAACTACAGATAAACTCGAACAGCTAGCAAGCAAACAAAATTCTCTTGCAACAAGGCTTTCTTCAGGCTCTTTCACATGATGTCATTGAAGAGAAAAAAAAAATCACTTTGTTTGCTTTTTTGCTATGCTAACCATCAGCTCATGGCGAATGGCCCACCCCCCCCATTCCTCACAGGTAGGTAAGCCTAAGCGCGTGCTTGGTTCCCCATCAGGGGGAGGGGGCCAAGCTTCGTTACAGGTTCTTCCTCCCTATTTTGCCAATGTATGGGGCTGAATTCGCGCCCTCCCCCTGTTGCCCCCATGCTACCCGTGCCTGCGCCCAATAGCCGGGTCATGATGGACAAGCAAGCAAGCAAACCACCGGTAATGGCGCTTCTATTTCACGAGGGCTGCGAATGGTGTGAATTTTATGTCTGCGACTGGACGGTGAGGAGTTTTCTTTGTTGCCGTTATTTGTGGCAGCCACTGCAATTTTTTTTTTGCAAGTGTAGTGTCCACATCTATACGGCGTGATATTAATACGTTTTCATGAACGATAGCCATGATTAGGCGCCTTTTGTCGTTTAGAAAGATTTTCCTCGTCTAAATCTATTTCAAACAACTCAAAAAAAGAGCAGTCTTCACCAAAACAAAGCCGTTGATGTAATTCGTACTGCTGGGCCGTAGCAGCATGATTCCTACGGTTCGTGGCCAGAAAATCAATCCACTCCTGAAAGAGAGTGAACACTTCCTAACATTGCAGCTCGCCCTTGACCGTTGCGGTGAAAAAAGTCGGCCACTTTTTAGCTGCGCGCATTAGCAACCCTACGTTTTACGTCCTGTGAAACGGCCTGTAACTAGCAGTGAAAAAATTTGAAAATACACAAGGCAGTGTGAAGCGGCGACAAATGATACACTCGCTGGCGATGCCAGTACACAGGTATACTCTAAAAATGAATCAAAAATGAACATATACAGATATTAGGAAAAATGTAAAGGCTGAAAATATCCAGAAAAAAAATTCACGCAGACTATGCAAACATAGCTTGGAGATCAATTACTCATGTGATGCCCCCCACTGATAAGCTCCCACAAATGCATAGTAGAGGGATAATAATTCTTAGTGGTAACTCTCTAAAGCCTAAAAAATGTCAAGAACTGAGTGAATTGGCAAGAGACAGTAAATAGATTCGATATTGGTCTTGAATTTTTCTCAGATTAAAATCACCTTCGAAGTGTATTGGCAGGATTGGTAGAATCGTACCTCTAACCAAAATTGATTAAAAGTGGCGGGAAAACAATACATACACACATAAAGAAGCTTTGAGACGACTGTATTTCTCGTTAGCGAGATATGTTCTTGCGAAATAAAGAAGGTGCCGATGGACCCTAGGCTCCTTTAGAAACACCAAACAGCGAGAAACTGTACAGTTAAATAAAAAAAATGAGCGGAAAAAACTTCTACAATATACCGACAAATATTTCAACAAAGATACCGACAGGATTAAGACGACACAGTCAGGGCTTCAAATGGAACGTGATGAGGCGCAAGGTGATCGCGCCAGTTGTGTTGCATGTACTGTCCCCACGGAAATTTCTCGGGTTGCTTCATTCTTCGACATGCACAAAAGTTTCATCAACAATTTCGGCTGCGTGATTTTCTTGTCTTTGGCAACGATTCAGATCACGGAAATATATGACCACAAGTGACGGCTTCTCCTATACATAACGGAACTGCAAGCTGGAGCAGTGACACCGAATTCCGTCACTCGACACCTTCATCACCTGACGTGTGCAAAACACCGCCGCCATTCAACGTTGCTTTCTAGGGACACATCCAAGAGCAATTACGCTAACAATGAGCTCCTTTTTGCTGACTTAAGCGGGCTCTGTTTGGTAGGGTATTCAGTGCTGCTGAAACACTAGCTGCCGCAGCGCTAGAATAACTGCTGAGCACAACAGGAGTGCTTCCGGCGTACAGGGTCCAGCCACGCCAGCAGCCACGTACGGTCGATCACGCGACGGCGGATTCCATGTGTCCTGGTTCCAGTCTCGTTCGATTGGTTCTGCAAACAAAACAGAACATTTTTAAATACAGCATATGTTAGTTTATTTAATTAGGACTTATTTGTTGTATCTCGTCACATGTTTAGGTCGTGAAGAAAAGTGCAACTCACTCCGATTCTCTAAAGAAATATTTATTGCGGTTTGAACTTAAGAGACACAGACTCATCAGAACTTTTTTGAGCCGAACTCAATCGAGCTTGCACTCACGAAAATTGTCCTACGCCGAAGTCACTCAGATTCAGACTCAGATTCAGACTCACGGATCATTCCGAGTCTTAGGGAGTTCGAGTGAGCCGGCTCATGAGTGACTTCACCATCCTGGTCCATGTTACTCACATGAACCAGGATGGCGTCCTGGTCAGAACTTATTTTCACAAACGACCGCCTCTTGGTGCCGCAGCCTGAACAATAGGTTGTGACGTTCGGTGAGCTTATATTCACAGAAAAGAGGCATCGCAACAATGCTAGCCGTCACCCACGCCTCTCAACTTCTTCAGCTTTCATTATGGTTTCCAGAACCACATTTGCGACGAGCAATAGTTTCGGCTAGGATATAACATCAGTGCTTTGGTGAAATCGGGAAAGGATAATTAAAAAGGAGGAAGAGAAAATAAAGAGTAGGGTAGAAACACGTCCATCCTGCAAGCGCCTCAAATATAGTGACGGCTGGCGCGCGCCCGTGCGGAGCCACCGTGCGCTGACAATGTGCGAAAAATACAGTCAACTGTTTCACAATATAGCTTAAATAAACGCTATTCGCTGAAGCAGCAAGGTCTTCCGAGTACAATATTGATAATTTCATATGTTTTAAGTGTGAATACACTTTATAAGCGACCCCAAACCATCCACCGCCGTCGGCGGCGTCCGCAGTCTTCTCTCTATCTTTAAAAGAAAGAGGACTTGGCGGGCCGCAGCGCGACGCTCTACCGAATAAGCCACGGACGCGACGATGATATCGGTGTCGCTCCTCCGCTCTCCTCGCTCGCTGCAGCTGCGCGCTCACCCCTCTCTCTCGCGCGCCCGCCTTCTCTCTCAGTCTCCCGTCGAGAGCGGGTCGTGCGATGGATGTCCCGGAGGCAACGCTATCATCTGGATATAAGGCGCGTTACTGACACCGATATCAGCGTCGCCAACGGATTTTAACTTTACTCCCCCTCATAGCACCACAACGTGCATTCGCACTTAACCATGTTCGCCCTCGGGGAAATGCTTGGGGTTTTTTTTTCTTTCCGAATTCGTTCAGTATTCTTTTTGCGCGGAGGGCATGAGAACGTTGCACGAAGTTGACGAATTTTCTTCGCAATAGCCTTTGGAACTTTTACGGTGTATACACAACACATGACACGGCTGTAAAAAAAAAAAACACCTGTCAACGTCTTCTTCAATAAAGCATCTTTAACCACGATTATCCCGTAAAGTTGAGCGCAATGAGTACATGGTACCACATTTCAATAACTTTTACAGCGAAAGCTGTTATGAGATCACAATTCGGCTCTCGCGCTGCGCCGTAGTTGTCCGCCACCGCCGCCACCGGTGTGCGTAACCACATTGCGCGTAATCAGAAAAACAAAACCTAGCACCAATGACACGGTGGGGCTTAAAACCGGGTCCGCTGAGTGCCATCCCAGTATTATAACACTTAGCCACACCAGCGCTTTTTTTTCTTTAATGAATAGAAATAACGCAATCAAATGATGTGATATATAGCTATACAATCAATCGTTTCAAGATTATTCTCCCGTGCACACATGCACAAGATACAATTTCTTGTAATCCAACGAACCTTCAAAAGTCTGGTAAAGAAACAGACATGTCCAGAAGTCCAAGCCACTCGGGAACAGGGTCAAAAAAAAAATTGCCCGCAGCTTCCCTCGGGGGAACACTGAGGAGGATGCGGAGCATATAATTGGTTAACGGGGTGTTAAAGTGCGACTTACTTGGGTCGATGGCTAAATTGGTTAACGTGGTTGTGAAATGGGGTGTTAAATTGCGACTTACTTGGGTCGATGGCTAAATTGGTTAACGTGGTTGTAGGAGGGGGTGTTAAATGAGTGAACACGTACACACGTATGCGAAAGGGCGGCGCTGGTCGAAGGGACGTCGATCATTGTGTTTGTGGATTCGTTGGAATTCATTTCACCACGACCTTGGACGTCGACGCGCCGTACAAACCAACCGACGAGCAGCAACTGAGCGAGCGAGCGCCGACCTTGAGTATATATACAGCTCGACGGCGCATGCACTGTCAGCTGTTGAATGTTCTCGAAGCGCGACGCCACATGCGCGTCCACTGGAGAATCAGGAGAATTGTAGATGTCGAACGCGGTGTGTAGAGGAGGAAGGGTGCACAGATGGTGGAGGAGTGAAGCACGCGCGGTGTGTAGAGGAGGAAGGGATGCACAGATGGTGGAAGAGTGGGCGACGGCGCGACGGCGCATGCGCGCGCGCCAGCTGTCGAATGTTCGAGAAGCGGTGCGGACGGCGCGGACGGCACACTACAAGGCGCGAGTATAAGATGCTCCGCATCTAAAATCTCTACAACACTACGAACATTGGCTGCTTCTTCTCGGAAAACAGACCTTGTTGAGCGGCGTGGCTCAGCATGTCTGTCAATCATGCGGCTCCTCCATAATGAATAGAGGCACAACACCAAGGATGAAATGTATGGCGCCTTAATTAAAAGGGTCTTTTTCAACGGTAGGAACCCAACACCATGGGCTGTAGTAGGAAATTCTTTTTTAATGGTTGTCTTAAGCGTGTCCCAGAAATCAAACGGATTGTAGCAGTGAATAAAACAATGCTCGATTACTTCAGACTCGTTGCACAGTCTGCAATTTCGACACCAGGGCAAGTATATATATATTTTTTATGAAGCCACGTCTTTACTGGTAATGTGGAAGTGTGTAGCCTAAAAAGAAACGTTTTCACTGCAGGCGATATACACATTTTATGCACATGGTAGAATGCATCATGACACCGGTGCTTGGAACTTGTTGGCCAACATGCCTTAGGCAGCCATGATGTCGGGAAAGCAATTGCGTTAATACGACTTATAAAGCGTTTTACAACAGTGAAAGAACAACCACTCGTCGCACAATACGAATAGCGTAACGAGTGGGTCTTGGAATGCTCCAACCCATTACAAAAGCTCGTTCTTATTCTACTGTTAACTGTGGCGCATACCCACTTTAAGCATCAGTCCTCATCGTTTTCAGCCACTGCATGAACAAGTGGCACAAAATGTCTTGCATGAGTTTAGCGGATACCAGGCTTCTCAAAAGAATGACGAACAATAGCATAGTGAATGCCGGCCTACTACCCCAATTTTTGTATTAATAATAACGAAGCGGGTATCAAGCAAGTGTACTTGCAGCACTGAGTGTTTAGAAAATGTTCTGAAAGGCCATTCTTCCCGCTTTTGCTGTGACTGTGCTGCGATTTCAACGCAGGCCTGGTACCTTTTTTTGGTACGCTCAAGAAAATATGGATGTAACGCCTATGCGATGCAATGGATGTTTTTCGGTGTGTTTTTAAAGGTAACACCTGTTTTTGATATCCGTTGTTTTATGTGCTTACCCACAGCTGTTTGAGCCAATTTACGATTTTAAATATTCCGCATTTTCTCTGTAGACTCGTAAAATATAATAACGTACGATGACAATATGTATGCTTGTACTGTGTCTGGTTTTTTCTACTCTGAAGTACGGTTTACTTAATTTTAATGCTTCTTGCAGCTAACCTTAGTCCATGGGCCCAACCAGTTTTGGTATCTCTCTGTATATTACCCCTCCGAATAAAGATTGAGCCTCATTTAATTCAAGCCAACTCACCGTATGGCGTTGTGACGGAGGTCCATTTCCGCGTTGCCATCTCTCTGCCGTCGTAGATGTTAGCGAAAGTGACAGTGACATTGTATTCAGTTCCAGGTTCCAATTCATACAGAGTAACTGTGGCCGATTTGTCATCGTGATTGTTGCAGCTAAACTCGTGTTCAGTTCGGCGGCTTCGTATCGTGCCGGAACACTTGTCCAAAGCACCATTTTTCACTTCAGGAACGAACACCTCGACTTGCACAGATCTGGGACTGGGTGCAGTCGCAGAGATCGTGAAGTCTCCTGGAGCTGTGGGGAAAAGTGTTAATAATGAGATGAAAGATTGTGCTCAGTTAAACACAAGCCTATATTATGCAACTTTCTCAGAGCCGGTTTTATTGCAAAGCTTAGGCAACACAATCATGCCTTCTAACAGAGGCACTAGAAATCTGAAACTGCCTGTGACAATCAGCTTAGCACGGTGGCATTTAGAGAAATTCCTGGAGCATACGACAAGTAGGTAACCCTATCTACACTTGTGAGATGAGGTATCTCCTTGTGTGTACAATGCTGCCATTAGTTCACCTTCAATGAAGAAAAATTCTACTGATAAACTTTTCAACTTATCTTTCATGCAGTAATCTCCCCTGAAGTAATTGAATTTCAATTACAGATGTTTGAAAAGTGTGAAACCGGTGTACGGTTTCTCTTTTTGAGAAATTCACAAACGACCGGGAGCTTTTAATAGAAATTGAAAACAATGAATGAGCTGTGAACACTCATCACAAAGATATGTATTTTCTCATATAACATCTCGGAATTACTCGTCGGTAGCATAAAATATAACTATGGGCAAAACTAGTCATTATTACCAGTGATATACTTTCTTTGGTTTGCTCACCCTGACACCACATGGTATACACACCTATTCTGCTTAATAGGGGTCCAATATATTTTGCCTATGAATACTTTTTTGTATTTGTTGCCCAAAGGTGTATATGTTATGGTGGTTTAGGTTTGACTTTCTGCAAGTGTGCAATATTTTGCCTCACTAAGTGCCATCTGTCACTCACTGCAGCAAGGTACATTTAAACTGACGGCCTCTACTGTCCGTAGCGCTGTGCATAAAGAATAAACAACTGATACGCAAAGAAAACACATTTCTTAGGAGAGACGCAACAAATGTTTGCGAGAAAAAGATCACAAACTCACCGAAAGAAGGGGTCCTAATCTCAGAAGCCTCCGTAGGACTTCTCAAGACCTGGCTACCGCACCGGGCGCTAGCCGTTATAAGCACACAGTACGGAGTGTCCACGGTGCTCTCAAAGTGAAGTGACGTGTCAGAAGTATCGAAGTCCCTGCAAGTGGAGACGTCTGCAGCGGCGTCACAGGACTCGTATGTATAGCAGACTTTGACTTCGTATCGGTCTAGCACGCCGGTGTACGTCTTGGGCGCTTCCCACGAAAGTCTGCTCTGCGAAGGCGATTCAGGAGCCACGGTGATGTTCTTCGGTGGATCGGGATCTGCAAAAATTTAAGATACGTCGATTTCATAGACGTTCTATTGGACATAGTGTTGACTTAAACCTATATTGTGGGCGAAAAAGTGATGTAAAACATGTTGGTAATGAGGACTGAGAGCCTTGGTACTTTTACCTAAGCATCTTCCTAAAAAGCCCAGCCGATAGCAAGCTTAAAGGAATGAACCAAGGCAGCAGAAAGACAAAATGCAGGTTAATTGAGAAGAAATGTGTCCGATGGGGCACTTTACACTACACTGACAGAAACGAAAAAGAGGAGAATAGGACGATGTTAAAGCGGAGAGCCAATCGCAGAAAACAATGCATGTACTATAATGTGAACGTTCACCTTATGTTCGTGAACGCTTATGTTCACCATGCCAAACATCTGGTCAGAAATATTTTGCCGACAAATACTGATGTCTTAGGGTGGCTCACTGTGTACGCCCTATACTTTTTAACATACACAAAGATTGATTAAAACGAAAACAATTTATTATTTGCCATTATTTAGTTTTTTGTTCTATTAAGATGCCGACAAAATTACAAGGAAGTCTTTAATGTACCACGCGTCAATATTGTTTCCTGTTATCTCGTAGATGCACTCGTGCAAATGTTCTTGCACTCAAAGTTGCCTGACATGCGGTCAAATAATTCATAACATTATTACACTCTGCACATTCACTTGTACTCACAGTACGTTCTCTTGACAAACTTTTATGCCTTGCTGAAATGCCTTCATACTTTTGCTAGTTTGGAGAGCCTGATTCATCAACTCTCTACATATCCGCACTTTTGGCAATGCTTTCAGATAGAAATGTAGTGAACATAAAGGCTTTATTCAACTTTCTGCTTCATATTCCGACGTGAGGCTGGTTGAATACAGAAACAACACACCCTTGAGTGTAGTAATGAGCTCATGGAGAAAAAGCCTGCGTAAATGTTCAACCCCAACAAATTTTGCTTGAGCTCGGATTGTTGCAATGAAAAGTGAATTGACACCAAGCTCAAATACATCAAGATACTTCAAGTACATTGAGCACAGTATGTCTTTCATAGTGTCAAGGATTGCTACTGCTTTCCAAAATCTGTCTGCACTACAGCAAGCCTTCTCAAAACATGCCACGTATTTACGTGCGAAATAATGTGTCTGAAATTTTTTTGTATCCTTTTCAATGTGAATTTAGGAGAGTTCAATTCTAAGCAAGCGACTATGACAGTTTGTTTGCATACGCCATTCTTAAGCGTCATTATGAAGTTGGCAAGTTAGGTATTGCCCTGAAGTTACCCTTCTAGAATGTTACATATATTCCCACTGAAAACAGAAAAAATTCGCGAACAAGGCGTATAGCATGAAACGAACTTTTCAACCAGCGCACTTGTCTTTTTTTAAGGTGCCACTGAGAAATTATGAGTTCCGAGTTAGGATTTTGGAGTTGTAACCTTGAAGACGTCAAGTCCGATTGCAGAACCATCGGCTAACTCTACACTCCGCGCTCACATTTTTTTTCTTTCTTCAAGACCCATCAACACCTAAACATCTGCCGTTTTAGGATATTGGGCATCGTTTATATTCAAAATAATGACACTCCTGAGGGAAAGGCAGGCAACTGTGACAATTCTACAAGATTCGAAACGCGAGCATGTCGACAAAGCAGTGCCGTCAAACAAATACCACAGGATACAAAACAAATCGGGCGGTAAACATACACTATACATTGCTCTGCATAGCCAGAAGACATGCTATGAGTAGCGGGACGTTAGAGCAGACGGCGTGCAAACATGTTCGATATGCATGCAGTAATCATAGGCCGTACGCTGGCATGGGCATTTGCTTAGGTTGTTGCACATTCAACGCTGACACTGCTTGCCCTTAAAGAGACACAAAAGGCAAATATTGTGTCGACATTGATTACTGAAATAGTGAACCAGAAATCCCACAGTGCCATTCTTTTGCGAAAGAAGTGCTTATTTTGAAATAAAAACCTGTTTCAATGGTCCCCATCTCGTTAGCGCACTTCAAATCAACCCGCCTGAAAGCGGCCTTTTTGATGTCAGTGTTTCTGTGTTGAACTTGTCCGCAATTACTGCGCGGTCGCTGACCATTGTAGCAGCAGAGGAAAAGTAGAAGGAGCCACAGCAGCAACAACAGATATTAAACAATTTTCTGCTTGTTCGTTTTACTGTTCCCCGTTAGATGGCACCAGCTATCCAGTCTAACCAGATGAAAACGGAAATCTTTAACCTCTCACGACATTCCCCATAGTAATGCCACGTGGTTCGTTTTCTACAAATAAAAAAAGGACACGCATCATTTTATTACGCATATTGATGGACGAAAGGTTATTTGTTATTGGAAGTAGTTTGATTACCAGTGACTTATTGCAGTTGAGGGCTCTTACATCGTCACGATCCATTCCAAAACGTCCCATTCTTGGCGCACGTCATGTTATACGTTTAACATTTATTTATCGGTAAGTAGGGCAGTGCTGTTGGTAATGTTGCCATTTAAGACGTTGTCATACATTGAGCTACCATTCTGTAATGAAATGGTTATTTGACTCTATTATAGTCCCTTCAAAAGCAACGAATACATTGGTGTGCACACTTGCCTGTTCCCGGTATGAATATTCCCGGCAGGGTAACGGCCGCGGAAGTGCGTCCAGGCGGTCCATTCACATGCGTTCGCACATTGAGGCTCACGTTGGAGCACGCATCGATGTGCCCACAGGTAACCTGAGTCTGGTCCGGGTGTATAATGGTGCCGTTGGTGCAGGTGCCGACACGATGTGGTTCTGAGCGGCTGCTTGCGCTACTCGCGTGGTCGTCAATCACCTCGATCCAGTAGTAGTCGAAGCGGCCCTCTGGTCGCTCCCAAGTTGCGGTGAACGAGTCACCATCGACTGCTACCAGGGTCAGGTTGGCCACTTCAGGAGGTACTGCAATGACACACGAAGGACGTGAACTCGAGTTCTGACACAAGCAGTTAATTACGTTGCTGTGTGCTGGCACTGAACCTTGCACGAACGGCTCGAAATAAAGATTCTTTGTTTTACCCGTATTGCGAGTTTCAGGGCAAAAAAATATAACCTTGGAGTTAAAAGAAAACACCACCTGAAAACTAAGGTGCTGTGTTATTCGCGTTTGTCTGAGTAGTTGTCTGTCTACGACAGTGCGTTTGCGGGTTTATGCACCTGCATGTATGCATAGGCGTCCACAGGGTTGTCCATAAAAAAGGGGAGAGCAGAGTGTAAGGTTTCCCGCAGCACCCCCACCCCATTGCTCAATTCCATGAGTTCAAAAAATAATAATATTGAGCTCCTCAATGAAAACGAGAATGAAGGCCATGGCCAAACACGGGCGTTCAGAAATGAGCCCTTCTCATCATCGGGACGTCTATTGAATAATTCACTATTTGATGTAAATAACGTACATAAGGTTGCATCCCTCCTAATACTAAGAGCGAATGCGAAATGTGCTTGATTGTATGTTTCATGTGGCGTGTAATTATTAAGAGTCTTCTTGTTTATGTAGAGACAAATAAAAATATGAGTTTGAACATCTACAAGCGAGTTCATGTTAAATAATTCAAATCGTGCCCTATTACTTCGGCACATAGTAACGTTTTTTACCTGTTCATATTTTCATGTAGCAGTCAAGTGCACCGATTGTGCACATCTTTTGATCGACTGTTTACCAATTTTTGCACTCATTATTATCAGATTTTGCCTCTTAAAAAAGAGTAGCTGGTGCCGCCATAATCGCACCAACCTGTTGTATTCAGAATTTCAATAACAAAAAAAGAGAGACGTGCATATCACCTACTGATTATGGCCCTCCGCTTTTATCGGGTAAAAATGCGAGTTTGGCACTTCTTGGAATGCGAAACTAAGCTATCGGTCACCGTCATCATTGATTATTAGCATCATGATAAGCCTATACGTTACAGGGGGATGACAGAGGTTCCACTGATCGAAACCATGGGGTTTACTTTGCTCCCCTATGCCACCCTTCTTATCTGTGCACAAGCCAGTGCTTGGGTGCTTATGCGCACCTCTCAAGCACGTGGTCTGCCCACTTGGCGCTGAACGGACCCCAAATACAAACAATAGCTTGGTTCAAATTGAAAACCAACAGTCTTAAAAACTCTAACGCCACATGTTCCACTATCATGGGATGGTAATGAGCGAAAAAACTAAACTTCTGACTTTAATTTTTTAAAATTTTGCACCCAGATCTGCGCACTTGACGTTAGAAATTTCAGAAATAATTTTTCGTATTTTTGCGACTTGGCTTGATGAAAGTTTTTGAAACTTTGTATTCTAGCTTTACCAATGGCTAATGATATTGTTTTTTTCATTTTTTATCGAATAGTAGCTATGTAGAATCCAGTAGACACCTTCAAAATGTATGGCATTACGGCGTTTGGTGCGTAAATCTCAAGGTGGCGCTTCCACCTGCGTTTTCTTGCTTGCCAAGCGTCGTGTTTCCACCACCTGGAGTTACTTAACGTGCACTGAAATCTGAGCACACGAACGTACAGGATTTTTGCCTCCGTCAAAAATGCAGCCGCAGCAGGAATGCGGTCTCTCTCACAGGGTAATTAAGAAAACAGAACATAGACTATTTTTAGCACTTCTCTCTCATCTTTATAGCCCCTTCCCATTTCCCCAGCGTAGGGTAGCAAACCGGGCATGTGCCTGGTTAGCCTCCCTGCCTTCTCTCTTGTTGTTTATCTTGCCCCCCCCCCTCATGACCACCGCGAATGGGCAAAAACGGCATCGTAAATTCTTTCAAATAAACCAATAAATCTCTAACAGATGCAGTTTAATATCACATGCTATTCAGCAATTCAATTTATTTCTTCTAACGTCGGTCAAACTGGCCGATTGAAAGAGAACTTAACAAATTTGAAGGGAAACTCGGAGACACATCTGGCATTGCCGCTCCGCCGCAAAGGTCTAAGAGCTAATATACTCGGCTGCTGACCCGCAAGTCGCGGGGTTGAATCCTGGCTGCCACGGCTGCAGTTTCGATGGAGACGAAAATGCTGTAGACCCGTCTGCTCACATTCGGGTGCACGTTAAAGAGCCCCAGGTGGTCGAAATTACCAAAGCCCCACACTATGGCGTGTCTCATAATCGTATGGTAGTTTTGGAATGTGTAACCCCCCATATCAATCATTCCATTCAACATCTACCATTGCCTTGTGCGCGTTGTTCTTTTAGTTTTTGTTAACCTTTGTCTAAGCAAACAGATGTTTTGTAAGTTAATACTAATCTTGCTAGAGAAATTGTAGAAGCGTGGCATATCTGTAGACTTGGAGATATGTGCCCAAGTCATCCTTTAGTGTCACTGAATGAAAAATATATTGAATTGCCGAGTAACACGTGATATTTCACTGAACTTGTTCAAAGATTTAGTAGTTTATTTGAAAGAATGTCTCCTGCAGTTTATGCTCATGCGCAGTAATCAGGAGGTGCTGAACAGAGTATACATTGTTTTCTTATTTATTGTAATTTAGTTGTTAGTCTGCGCTGGTCCTTGTGTTCCTTTAGTCTGTATCCTTGTGTGTGTGAGCTCAAGCTTCAGTATGGGAGCCTATTCTAGCAAATTCACTAGCGATTTTTCACAACCCAGTTGTTAACTAAAAAGCAATTTTTGTTTTGATGGGATAACGGAAAGCTATTTTATACCAGGGTTTAATGTGGTGCTGGCGTTTCTGGGATCTATATTAGGGGAAAAGCATCTGCAGGGTGACGCTTGTCCAGCGTTCAACATCACTCAATTTGGATTATATGGGGCAACACTCGGTTAAGATATCTGAGACCAAAAAGGTCTTGCAATAAAGTAATATAAAAAATGTTTGCACAACATTGTAAAACAACTACAACCTACAAACCCTTCATTCTAGTCGATGGCTTCATCGTAGACATTATGGATATTGGAACTGATAGCTTTGCCGACGTGCCATAATTCACTTCGTAGAGATCTGTACATTTTTTCCGAAGACTCTCAAAAAGGAAGACAAAAAATTGACATGCAACACAATCTCACATGAACCACAATAAATAGGTACTCAACATAAAATCAGCTTATGTCGCGCGCATTTTTTTGGGGTGTTCTTGGACATCGAACAGTGAAATGTAAGATTGAATGAGTTGGTTGGTTCATTGGTTGCCTGGCAGGATGATCAAATTCCGTTACCAGTCCTGACAGATATGACTAGTGCTCAATGTGTTCCTCCTACGTTGAGAAGGGCAGGCTAAACTTTACCGACACATTGTAGGCTCTCTGGGAAGTCGGAAAACAAAGTTACCACTCTGCGTGATCGTAGTGCTGAAGCTTTGGATTTCACAAATACAGATCAAGTTTACCACCTAAATTGGCATTTCTGAACGTATATTGAAAGACGAACTCACCTGGGTATTCCTTTTCCTGAAAAAAGAACAGACAGAAATTGGTTAGAAAAGGGGTTCAGCGATTTCCTGCACATACTTTATTCACTAGGCACCCAAAGTGAACACCATCCGATTTGTGAGATGTGCCCACTTTTTAGATAATAAATTCACTCAGGTTTCTGGGATCAGCATGGCCACCCGTTTTATTTTGCGGTGCTGTGCTTGTTTCAACAGCGAATGCATTTCTTAGTCGGCTGTCAGGCATCCGGCGTTGCGCGCGGCAGTGTCCGCGTGCCGGCCGGTGTTATTTCTTCTCACTCCCTCTCTCATCGCAACAGCTGGGGGCACACGCGCTTATCCTCGCCCCTAGCAACCGGAGCATGTGGTGTGAGAGAGTGTAGAAGGAGGTAGGTGCAGTGCATCGCCGCTCCTTGTCTCGCCGCTTACTCTCTCTTCTCCCTGTGCCCCACTCTATCGTTCGCTCGTGCTTCACTCTAAACCGCTCGCTGGCTGGGTGCCTCTTAAGAACACCCGGAAATGTGTGCTCAAGACACCGCTGCGAAACGCGAACGCCTAGCAGAGAACGCTGGCACCCCACTCTCCCATACGCTCACTCTTCAATCTCGACTGTTCGCTGGCTGGGCACCTCTTAAGGTGAGGGGCGAAGTAGGTGGAGGCGAATATCTGACCGCAATGGTACCCTCTTTCTACGATCCCATTTCAGGACGTGGGGCCATTCTTTTTCGCGAGTCTCAAGCTTTGTCAAAGTAGTGACAACTGAATCTTTTTACATGCATAATCCAAAAGGCCATAAACATAAACGTTTCACATATACAAGAAAATATATGATGAGAGATCGAAGTGAAGCGATTGGCAAACATTGCAAAAACAATAAGCACGTGTATACCTCACAAGGAGACCAACAAAATATTCGCTTGTTTATAACCGTGCTCGCTTGGCTCACTCTTGGTCGAGATTAACACATGCCGCCGACAAGCCCACGAAATGCAAGGGCGTGAAGGCGTGATCGCTTTAAATGACCACAATAAGGTAGCCCCGGAATTGGCAATCCTACGGCGCAGGTACAAGCATGGACGATGGCGATGACTTCCCTCCGGCAACACTGCAGAAAAGATCACTTGTGCTGATATGGAAGATTAGATGTAGTCCTATGCCCGTGAAAGAGATATATTTTAGCTGGTGCTCGTTCATGGCTACTTTTTATGCTAGGTACGTTTTGGCTTCGGCGCCATGAACTAATCAGAGCAGGACATCACTCTCGGTAAACGTAAGACCACGCACGTTGGCAAAGGGGTTACGGAGTATAGAAGTCTGGCGGACATCTCTTATGAGCGGCCACGGCGCGAGAATAGAGGTCTGCTAAGGAGAAAACCTGTATGAGACAAAATAGTAATACTATGAAAGATTTCATGAATCTCACGAACGTTTAAGGTCAGAAAGTGAGAAAACGAAATAATTGCCCAAGCTGAATTCGCTTTTATGTGAAGTCTTAAATACACTACCAGCTTAGGTAGGCACACTCACGAGTCAAATCAGGCAGCCACGATCAGGCTCAGATCAAGCAGTGAATCTGCGAGAGTTTGGGTGAGTGAGTGAGTGACTTAACTTTATTAGGTCCACAATAAACGCGAGTTAACTCAGCGTAACTTTCGTTCAGTCTGACGAGTGAGTGCGATTTAGAGACAATATGGTGAGTCCGAGTGAGTCCTAAGCGCAAGAAGTGTTACTCCAGTGAATTTTAGTAAACTCCAGTTTTTTGCCAACTTAAGGCTACCAATGGCTCTTTGTGACGTCACAAATTACATATACTAGGTTACCACGTCCGAGAGCAAGGAAGTGATTGTTTTACGCACACTTGTGCGGTGCTGCGCAACAAGGAAGTATTTAGATGTGACTTCATATGATTCCTAATTTGTGGTCGGCAGTTCGACAGAAGACTGTTTAGTTACTTCTTGATAGAATGACAGTTCCCAAAACTTGCCTACTTGTATTCTTGGCTTGTTGATAGAAGAGTTCATTTCACTTCACATTGTAGCTATGGGTCCGATAGTGGATGGTGGCTTAACGTTTGATCTAAAAATTGCTGTGTTTACACGTCCCTTTTTTGTGCAACTTTATAGCTCACGAAGCATTTTTCTACCGTAAAAATTGCTCTTTAGTAGTGTCCAGGGGGTACTTAGCAAAACATATACAACATTTTTCTTCTGCTCAGCACCTCGTAAACGAATGCGAATGTTAATGTGGCACTCCATGACGTGAAAACGTGACATGTTATGCGCATGCCATGGTACGACATGCTATGTGGAACTTTATGACGCGCTACGTCATGCTTTGTGGGAAAGTGGCACTGCGTGTTTGAAACCCGATGCTTGAGCTGGGGCACAGGTAACGAAGGACCGGTACTTAAGACAGCAAAAAAAAAACAAAATTTATTTTAAAAAATAAATGATTGGACGAACAAATTATAAGTAAGTGAATCAATGAAGGAAATCGCTTAAAAACGAAAAGATAGCATGGCAATGGGCTACGAAACATTCTGTTACAAGATTTCAACCTGTTTGTGTGAATTTTTGACACCACAATAAAATGTCCCGTGCTGAATACATTTTTGCCTTCACAGTAGAAAGAGAATTTCGTCGCTTCAGTGTTCAAACAGAGAGCTCAAGTACTACTGCCATTGCCAACTTGTCACAACTAAATATTCCCGAAAGAGCGCCAAAATTGTTTCTTGTGGTACAGAAACCAACTGACACAACAGACCCCCAACAGATCGTCACTACGGACTACAGCGTAAGAACATCGCAAATCATCCCAAAGCATGCGACACGCCAGAACTGCATGTCGTCGTGCTCTGTTGTATTCTTGTACGCGGAATGATTGAAGTACTGATCCATCGTCTGTAAATCGGAATGCCTTCATTTCTCTGCGCTTTCTAGAAACTAAACGCAAACCGATTCTCGTGCCCTCATGACGGATGAAACAGCGTGAGCACCGCAGTGGCTGCACACATTGCCGCAGGTTTGTGATCTAGTTGATTCCCTTTGGCCTCTATTCAATGCCACGGGTTAGTTATTTATTCAGTCCGGCACTAATAGGGACGCGCGGCCGCTCTTAAGCGAGCGTATGCGATAAAGATCTGGGTGGCCGTGAAGAACTTGCCAGTGGCCGGACAGTATCGGCTTGTTTATCATTCGCATAGCAACGCGTGTGGCCAGAAAAAAAAACGTTGAAAATTTTCTTAAACAGAGAATAACGGCCCGGGTTTGATGCGGCTATTACCGAGTAGTTTTGACCATATCAGAAAGCGTATTTTTGGCTGTACAATAATAGACGCAGAAGTCCTTGAAAAAGAAAGCAGTTTCCTGAGGTCAAGAAAAAAGTTGGAAATTCTCGAAAAGAGCGCACCTGGACTGTTTTCAAAGCAGTTTTTGCCAAGTGTGTTTCATCATTTTGATAGGCAAATTATGACCATAAAAAACCTAGCAGAAGTCCTTGGAAAAGAAGAGTGCTTCTCTTTTGCCCTACAGTTTAGCTGTAGTGAAATTAAGGCGAATAACTTTATCGATACAATTTTCTGAGCCAGTACTCTTGTTCTGTCCTAGCTGTCTTGCTGTTGGTTGATACCTCCTCTACTACGATAGTTTTATAATTCTGTAGCACACGAAAAAAGAGGTAAAAGGAACAGAAATTAACAAACAAAGACGTACCAGTACACGAGCAACAGGATTGGCGACACGTTTTTTTTATTTTATTTTAGTGTTGGGGGGAAGGGGGGAGGTACACTCACGAAAATTGAGTTCCTTTATGGAGGCATAAAGGCGGACAAGTTATGCGTTACGTTTTACATTTGCCTTTAGGGGAGGAGGACGAGGGGGGGCGGGGCAGCCCCGCCGCGGTGGTCTGGTGGCTAAGGTACTCGGCTGCTAACCCGCGGATCGCGGGATCGAATCTCGGCTGAGGCGGCTACATTTCTGATGGAGGTGGAAATGTTGTAGGCCCATGTGCTCAGATTTGGGTGCACGTTAAAGAACCCCTGGTGATCGAAATTTCCGGAGCCCTCCACTATGGCGTCTCTCATAATTATAACGTGGTTTTGGAACGTTAAACCCTACATATAAATCAATCAACGAGGGGGGGGGGGAGGGCAGGCGGAACTTAGGGGTATACTCCTGCGCTCCCGTGCTCTCCCACGGTAGCCAGCCGCCCTTGCACGCTAATAGACAAAACGGGTAGCAAAAAAATCTAGCCGTCACGACGTATTTAACATCTTGCCTTGTTACGTGCGCAACATGCATGGGAACAACAGCACACGTCGAACGCTCAACTAAGCCTTGCAGGTGGGCTTATCAATGGGTGGATATAACAGTGCCTATCGAAGCCGCTGGCGACATCACTATGAAAAGATTCCGCGCATTTGAAGCGGTCGCCGTTATCTCTCCTTTCCTGCTTTCAACGGCTCACAGTACAAGAGGTCGTTTGCACCGATAGCGGCAGCTTATCGGAGTAAACAAGGAAAGCTGACGCTACGTGGGCAATGAAGCATAAAACCTGCGTAGATGCCAAAGGGTCGCTGGAGTGTACGTGAGCTCAAGAAGCCTTCAACCGACACGAGCTCTATAGAAGTGGCCCTAAATTAAGCCTAAAAGGATAGAAAATTGATACGAGTGAGTTCAAATGCCACACATCAGCTCTGTGGAGCACAATGCCATTAACCGCATTGGCATCTTGCAGTGATTGTTAATGTGCTCTCGTCAAGTCACTATCACTGAGGTGTAGAACAGTGCTACCTTTTATCATTCTCTTCAATATTTATACATCTCTTCACTCCTGTCAACTGGATATCAACAAGTCTCGGTATATATTTAAAAGCATCGTAAACACGAAAAAAAACTAAATCGAGAACTATTTTTAATATTCCTACGATTGAGAGATATTAGGTTTAAAGCCGTTAATGAAACTCTGAATAGAATTCGGCCAACTCGTGCGCCTACAACGCGATTATAAAAGCTCATACACTGTTTTTTGTCGATTAGGTGTATTAATTGTGTGTACGCTGCTTTGAAAAAGGTGCACATAGCCAGTGTGCACTGGCTATGTACACCCTCCATGTACATAGCAAGTGCAAGTTGCCGACTAAAGCATAGAGTTTAAAACACACATTACTACAAATACAGCGTCTAGGCTGCGAAATTATTCATTCAGTGTTGCACCGAATTTCCAATAACGTTGGCTCTATATTACAAGAGGAAATGCAGTCTAATGTTTCAATTCCGAATTTCGCACTGAGTTTGGGGATTGATATGTTAATATGAAGTCACAAACCTCAGTCTCGTATATTTGTCACACCCAATAGTATGGCCTGAAGCTAGTTGTAATAACTCTTGACGTTTTTCAAACACCACATATTTTATTTTTTATCAACGTAGAATTCAGTGCGTTCCTTGAATACGCCATCAACGTCTGCGACACCACGAATTCTTTATGCTCTAAACTCAAGAATGGCCTCGCCGCCATACTTGATTATTGCTCATTTTTCGCCTCTTCTTGCAGCAAGAGCGGTGTGTACAGCATCGTGGAACTGTAATTTTTTTATTTGTGATGAAATTGGTGTAGCTCTTCATGTCCCTCATGTCACAACATAACTTCACAATTCAGCGGAACACCCTGTTTCCGAAACGAAAGAAAATGACGCTTAAAAGAAAGTCTTCCACTTCAGGAAATCTTTACAGCAAGGCAACATGACGCAGCCTTCACGGTACTTGCATTGATTTCTCGCGCACGCTGTGACGCGACCTTTGGATACCGACGTGATCAGCAGCTGTAACACTTGAAGAAGTGTTGTCAACGGCTCGAAGCACTTAAAAGTGACGCCGAATCGCGGAAAACCGAGAGTGTACAGATACAAGTGTAAGCATTCACGTACGACCTGTTAACACATAACTCATGAGACTCAACTGATTTCAGAAGTTATGGGAGTATATGAAAGCAAAAATATGTCAGCATTTGCCTTTTCTTCCCAAACAACAGCAAATGCAGAAATGTTTTAGAAGGTTGGGCGAGGAGCGAGTAAGGGGAAACCAAATAATTATTTTGCATTTTGTATGCCATTGCGCTGGAAAAATCGGGGGGAGGGTGTTGGGGGACAGCCCTTGCATACACCGCTGGCCACACAACCAAGACCTTGGAGTATAGTGAAACATTTCTTACGAGTTGTCGCTACTCTCTTGATAAAACACAACAGAGTGTTAAAGAATAGTTCGAGCTTGTATATTCGCTGCAAGTTTGTTACGAAAGACTTTACTTATTTCACTATAGGTTTCCCGGTGGTATGACTTACCACGTGCTTTACAGCGCGTAAAATTAAAAATTGGGCATTGTACTGTTATTGCCTTTTCCTATTTCACAAAATTCGCCGCTGTTCTTTTGTGTGTTTGTTTTTACAAAACGACTTATAAGGGTTTCCAAGTGTTCTGAGGTGCTCTTTGCAAACCAACGGCAGGTATGTAGATTGTGCAACCACTTTTTATAATTAGCGACCTGTATCCTGTAAAAAGCTTTGCGTATGCGTAATCGTAACTTTCTAGCACTTTATCGGACTAAGGTATTTCATGCACAGACAAAACCACCGCATATACAATCGTTAGGAGGCCTTAGTACTTCGGCCACTCCAGAGAGTTGTGTACGGCCTAGTCTATGGGACTGACGACATTACAAATGGAATAATACATTCTTACAATTGAGCTTTCTTTTCTATTTTGAGCAGTTATCGTAGAAGTTTTTTGAGCCATGGGGTGAAAAAATGGCTGCGCAAGCCTAATCTGCATGAATATATTCGGACAGATCACTTTCAATATTCGCAAAGTTAAAAACTTTGAAAAAGAAGCGTTTTGAAGATGACGTCTTCAATATCGTTTCCCATGTTTCCGAAGCAATCTAGTTATGAAGCGCACTGAAAACTCACTTAGATAGATCTTCCTTTACATTGGTTTAGTATAATTTTATGTTCAGTAAAAGAATCCCTATCAGGCGATCTGTGAAAAGCGAATATCTTTCGTGGAATATGGGAGATAAAACGTGCTTGACCTGGCGCATCAGGAAACCGGAGCGCTTAAGGTTTCACATAAGTAGGAGTACTGCAGCCAAACATATTCATGATCCGCAAGAAGCCGCGTTCTGCATCAGCAGATTCGTGCTCTGGACTAAGCCTCTTATGGAAGAATCTTTGTCGGCGGTTTTGTTAAGCGGCCCCTACTGCCAGGCTGCGTAGTGCTTTTGCTTCCAGGTGCTCCGACGCAATCGGGCCATGGAAGCAGCATCTTTCTTTATATATCTTCGACCATTATAGAGTCTCCTGATTAGAAAGCATTTTGTTCCTTTGCGTTATATGATATGTCTATTACAACATTTGATTGCGACAGTTACTACGGGTGAAACGCGAGAAAACCAGAATTTAGTTCTCTTTTCGTGCATTTCGCCACACCACCTGAGAGCTGCCCGCCACCATTTTCTACCGTCATGCGTGCTCTTCAGATCCTTTTACACCATTTAGAAAGCTGCGTGCGCACAATTAGTTTCTGACGATCGTCTATAAGAGCCCTGCTAAATAGTGAAAATGGCCCACAAGTGCTTTCTTCAAAACGTACTTTCGGTGCACGAAATGTTATCTTACGTGCCAAAATCCCTCTAAAAGTAGCCTGCATGCCGCAGCGAGACTCACTACAAACTGGGGCTACACAAAAAATGCCTACAGGTAAATACTTGGCTGCTTCTGCATTTCGCGCCCTTGGGAATACAACGGCCGCGCACGGAGAAATGAACTGATGAATGGCCACAGTCAAGCCACAATTTGCAGTTGAACTCAATTTCCGTGTTCCGAAGAAACCGCCATTCACATAATTTTTGCACTTTTGAAAATCAGACCAGGTGGCACTAACTATTCTTTCTATGCACTTCATATTGTAGGACGCTCGCGTAGTATAATATTATATGTAATATTTGTAACGACATCTACAAATATATAGCTGAATTTCAAAATTCTGATATATTATTTAAGAAATATAGGTGAAGAATACAAAGCACAGTGTTTGGAAAGCAGAAGTTTCAAATGGACAATATCAGCCTCGGAAAGCAAGGAGTGTCAAGTGAAAGCTTTTGAGGAATGCGTGATTTATACAACAACGACGGCAAAACTTTAGAGCTAGTGGTGAGCACACCGTACGTATGAATCAGTGAATCGCCCAATCAGCCTTCAAGCAAGGAGTCCGTGTTTCGTGCATGTGACCAGTGCGCCAAAAGTTTTTGTAGTTTACAACATACACATTTCATAGGTTTCGCTTGCAGTGTTTGCCATTGAATCAATATGTTTGTCGATCACATCTCTTCACTTTGACAGATTATCTTCTGTACACATAACATATTTCTAATAAATTTTCGCTGTGTAAACTGTGTTTGCTAATAGTACTTGAATTCTTTGTTTCACGTTGCAATATATAATATTTTATAGCCATCCAATTACAGATTTCTCCCTGCAGTGCTCACTAGCTGGTCGCATCATCCCCACTTCGATGTTGGAATTTGTCAAACGGGAACGTCAGGAACACCGCATAGGAACGCAGTTGAACCACTCACCTTCACAAGTCGTAGTAGAAGAAGGATGGCCACGATCACGATCGCTACGAAAAGCGAAGTGAACAGCGAATACTTCACGATCGTCTGTCGACTCAACCGTGTCGTTTTGTGCTCTGGTCCTTCCTGCAGTGTCGTCGAAGTTGCAGAGTTCACAACACCGAATCTGTTAGGCGGCGATCCAGCAGGTACGTACTGAACGTAAGGTGGCGGTGTTTCCTTTACGTCGGGATACGGTGGCGGCATTTCTGGGTAAATCCGTGGCACCTCCGTCACCAGTGCCAGTGCACGTTCCTTAGATGTTGCCATGCTCTTTTTGACTGTCGATCAAATTCAGAAACATATATATATGGAGTCCTGGTCACTTTCCTAGAGCCTTGACACTTGTGACCAGGCCTGCAGAACAATTGTATGCACACTTATTTAGGAACTATACCACACCTGCTAGAAGAATAATAATGTTGAAGAAGTAGGCGCAATACGAAACTATGATACACAGAACAATTTACAAGCTTCTGGGAGCCTGCGCCGTCAGAAGCAAAAAAAAAGCACACCAGATGGAGATGACACGTGGTCGCACAGGCGATGATCACTGCCGGTGAGACCAGTCGCACTGGTTGGTGTCAGAAGGGACTATGCGAAGCTCGTGGTGCTCGCTAAGCCAGCAGCTGTAGGCCTAGTTGCGCGCTCGCCCCGGGAAACGAGAGCCCCAGACGAGAGTGATCAAAACAACGCCGAGTGTTGCGTCTGACGCCAGACCGCACGATCGGCGGCGGCTGTTGCGGCGCCTGGCGTTAGGCAAGGCAGGCAAGCCTCACCGTCCTCGCAACGCGAGCGAATTCCGCGGTAGATGGGCGAGAAGAAAAGTCGTACGGTTACGAGAGCGGGGCAAGGTTTCGCGATATCGTGGTGGCGACGGTGGAGAGGGACCGACGCAACGCCAGCAACGCCGGCGGCCGCCGCTGAGTGAACCGACGCGTGTTGCGACGGTTGCGCCAACAGCGGCAAAGGCGGGTGGTTGCGAAACTTCGTGCCGGCCGGTGTGTTTGGCGGGAAAACAATATTTAGGAAGGCAGCCCGGGATAAACAGCGGCTGCCTTCCGGTCGTCCGTATATGCCTACGTATCAGTGGATATTACATTTCTGATATTATGTAGACGCACGCATAAAACGTGTGTTCAGGTGCACGTCAAAGAATGCCAGGCTGTCGAAGTTTCCGGCGCCCTCCACTAGTTTCGGATTGTTAAACCAGTAATAATAATAATGTTAATAATAATGATAATAATAATAATAATAATAATAATAATAATAATAATAATAATACTTTACTTAGTGCTTAGTAGTCTTAAATTTATTATCACTATTATTCTTATGAGCAATATTAATATTATGTCACTGACGGTTATGCCAAGTATTTTTCACCCATTTATAAAGCCTCAGACTCTAGCACTCAGATAGTACAACAGCTCAATGCAGTTGGCACATCTAGTCATCTATCGCTGGATGAAAAGTTCATCTGGTCGAGCAATAAACGCTTAAAACGGTCCTTATCGTGTGATCCAGATGGCATCGCTTCCGCCATATCAAAGGCTGATGGTAGTATTTTTTCCCAAGTACTGATCACATTGATTGATATGTGGGATTTAGTGTCCCAAAATCACCAGATAATTATGAGAGACGCCGCAGTGGGGGTCTCCGGAAATTTCGACGACCTGGGGACCTTCAACATGCACCCAAATCTGAGCACATAGGCCTATAGCATTTTCGCCCCCATCGAAAAGGCAGCCGTTGCAGCCGGGATTCGATCCCGTGACCAGTGGGTCAGCAGCCGAGTACCTTAGCCAGTAGACCACCGCGGCAGGGCCTGTACTGAGTACAATATTTAATAGGTGTCTGAACGCTTCCACTCTTCGTAGCATGCGTAAGACTGCGCATGTTTTTCCAGTAGATAAGTCGAAATGCAAAATTGATATTTCTAACTATCGCCAGATTCTTTTTCGCTCCGATTTCTCACAGAAGATAGAATATTGAAGTCTACTGAGAACCGAGCAATACTTTTGACGTAGTCAGACAATCACGGTTTTTGTTTAAACCTGCACATTTTGATGTGTACTCGTCTGCTGTGAATCTCCTGCATAGCTATCAGCTTTGCAGGTCATTTCATGCCGAGTAACTGGCCAAACGTCTTTTTTGTACGTTAAAGTCTAGTGGCGTCCTTGAAGAGTTGCTAATAGGCCCACCCTAACGTTTAATCGACCCGAACGTTGACTCGTTCAGAACACATTATTCTTTTTTCTTGTATGCGGATTACATTAGGATAGTTAGGGAAATTCATTCAGTGAACGATTGTCACTTGCTGCAGTCAGATTTGTCTTATTTCTCCGAGTAATGCAGCAAAAATAACCTGTCCTTGAATATCTTAAGCACAAATTAATGAGTATATGACAAAACAGCTATCGAAAACAGGTATATTCTGTTTACACCGTGCGGTTAAGTAAGGTTTATAAGATCAGTGAACTTTCATCAGTTTTTTTTTTCAGATCAGATCAGATCAGTTTCTTTGTTTATATAGCAAGGTAATTTTTTCTGCTCACACTAAGCGTTGTTACGACTGGCCCTAGGGAACCAAGCAAGAGGAGTTGCGGGGAGAACCGGTTCTTGACCGACTGTGTCGTCGACCCCCACCTCCCCATTCAGGCTCCCCCCTCTCGCCGGGAGAATTCCGGAATCTGCTGTGCGTTCGTGACCATGTTTGGGCATTTTTTTGGGCGCCGTGACCATATATGGATGTCACGGACGGCTATTTTCGGCGACACCGCGTCACGGCAATTAACTGGCGCCGTACTTCCCGACGGACCGTCAGAAACGGCGGCACATGAAAGGGAACCGATAAGTGCAAAATGGGGGTGCTCTCCTTAGAACGTCGCCGCCGACAGTTAATCCTTTTGTAACCGTGGCGACGTCTGCAAGGTCGTAGAAGGCCGCGGTATACCCCGTACAAGGATTAGACTACAAGACGCCCGGCTGAGAGCTAAGTGGTTGACCGTTCCCACGAAGAAAAGCGTGGGAAACGCTCTGGTGGCCAAGCCGTATGGCAACAACCCGACAGGTTGTCACTCGCGCTAGTTGCGGGCCCTCTCCCAATTAAAAAGGGATGGGGTCAAAATATTTTTGGGGCGGAGTTTCCCCTCAATTAAACGCGCATGATTGGACCCAGGTAGAGGTCTCTTGTCCCCAAGGAAGAGAGCGAGGAGACACGAGGGGGATTTAAGCGTAGGATTTTGCCCTGCTAGGCAGACTAGTCGCTGACCAAGATGGTGTAGAAATAGATCAACAAGCATCTCTTCTAGAATTTTTTAGTGTGGCTCTGTATCGGCTGGCCACCTAAACTTAGCCGTTCGTCTAGCTGTGACGCGATATTAACGTCTGCAACGTAGACATCGGGACTTCGCCTCGAGTTAGCTCAACCTGCTCGAAGTCACCTGCAAGCACTAGCCTCCCGGAGCCACCAGCGTTGCAACACCGCCGACATCGCAGTCGTGCCAGAACTCTCTTCGGCTTCTCGCATCCGATCGTCGGGGACACAACGCTGCCGGTCATCACACGTATGCCTTCACCTGTTTATATCTTCGAACTTTCTCCTCCGTAGTCGATTATTGTTAGTTTGTGTAGTTTGTGATAGTTCTCTCTCGTAAGCTAATTTATTGTTTCTGTTATATATCTCTTTAGTTGTATCAAGTGTCAATGTATGTTGTTAGTTGTATTGAAGTGTTGTATTAGATCCCGTGTGCTGCAATATCACTAGAGTAAAGGTTGTTTTGTTTTCTCACGTCTCTGATCTCTTCACTGTCTCTGCTTGCGTACGGAACGAACCAACCTGCTGTCATTCCCGTCGCCGACTTCGCGCTGGCGACGCTAGAGTGGCAGCTTGTAACAAAACTGGCGTCCGCGAGACAGGACGTTCCGTACAAAGAGTAAGACAGTGAGGGGTGAACGAGAACCGTGCGGGCAGCGTGGTGATAGAGCCGCACAGTTGAAGCGGTTGTATCCTGCATAAGATTACGCTGGTTTTATAGTGGTAATATAGTGACAGTTTGCAGTATGGAGTGTATAGATTTGGATAAGTGTATCGCGCACGGTAAACAGTTAGGCCTCGAGGGCGCCGAACTGAGACAATGGGTTAAGGAGCAGCAGGAACAGGCGCAGGCGTTAGCCAGAGAAGAGCGGGCACGGGCCCGGGAGGAAAAGGAAAAAGAAAGGGAGAGAGAACGCGAAGAAAAGGAGAGAGAGCGCCAAGAAAAGGAAAGAGAACGCGTTGAAAGGGAGAGAGAACGAGAAGCAGCAAGGGAAGCGGCTAGGGAAGCCGGAGAACGGGAAGTGCAGTTACTGCAATTAAAGATTCGCCTCAATGAGAGTAGCAGTGTGAGCAGATCCAGCAGTGAGCACGGCGATGCCGGGGAGGAGCCGAGTTTGAGAATACACGCAGGTAGACTGCTCGTCACCTTTGACGAAGGAAGGGACGACTTAGATGCGTTTATACGCCGATTTGAGAGCATCGCCAGAGGGCAAAAGTGGCCTGAAAGCCAATGGGTGACGGCGCTTTCGACATGTCTTACAGGAGAGGCGCTAAGTGTTTATGGCAGGCTACCGCCTGCAGATGCAGCGGACTACACCAAGGTTAAAACCGCCCTCCTGAAGCGCTTTCGCTTCACGGCGGATGGGTTCCGAGACAAGTTTAATAAGGAGAGGCCAGTAGGGGGTGAAACAGCAACACAGTACGCGGCTCGCTTAAGACACTACTTCGATAGATGGGTTGAGCTGTCCAAAACTGAGACAGAATACGAGTCCCTCCGAGCATTGTTGATTAGAGAGAGGTTCTTGCATGGATGTGGTTCGAACCTAGCATTATATTTGAAAGAAAGGAGGGCGGAATCTCTGGAAGACATGCTTGAGCTGGCAGACCAGTTTTTGGAAGCTCAGGGTGGAGCAAGCCTAGCGAAAACAAAGAAAGATGGTCCCATAACGGACGAAAAGGGGAAATACGAAAGAGGAGGCAACAGCCACTCAGCTTTACCACGCTGCTATATTTGCAATCGTGGGAATCACCCACCGCACTTGTGTCGCAACAGAGCTGCTGCTAATGTAGCCATCGTCTGCTTCAAGTGTGGGAAAAAAGGACATAGGGCAAACGACTGCCGATCAGGAGCAAATAACTCCCTCCAGGCATCCTGCCTCTACGCACCAAGGGAAACGCGTGAGGATCCCATATGCGACGGGTATGTCGAGCTTAAGAATGGCGAAAAAGTCCCCGTCGTCAACGCCGTAAAGGCGACACCGCCGAAAAATCTGGCCGAGAACCTACCAGTGGCCACAGGGACCCTCCGAGGCACAGACATATCAGTGTTGCGGGATACGGGGTGCAACACAGTAATCGTGCGGAGGAAGTTGGTGAAGGAAGACGAGCTGACAGGTACAAGCAGACTCGTCTACTTGGTTGACGGAACAGCGAGGATGCTGCCCGAAGCACGGATTGAGGTTGACACCCCCTACT